AAAAAAGTAGCTAGCTAGTTTCAAATAAATTTGTTTCATTATCACATACAAATACAAAAGGGGAGGCAATTTCCTAACTCATATTTTCAATGTACAAGATCTTGGGTTTTTTCGGATGAAGAAATTTTAATTATCTCACCATAATGTATATTGAGAAAGTCTTGAGTCTCAACAAAACTTTTTAGGAGCAAATTTTTTTTTTTTTTAAAGAACACAATAATTTTGTGCGAATTTCGTATTCATATCAAGAAATCTAGTGATCAATGTATAAGAACTATGAGTTGAGGACCCATAAACAAAGTGTATTATTGATCAAGTGATAAAAAAAAAAGAACCAAAAAACGTTTTCAATTCTACCCCTATTACATTGGCGCATCCAGAATTTTCATTAATGGAGTTTAAATTTGAAGAAGTAAATATATGAACTAGTCAAAGTGGATTCGATATCTACCATATATACATAAAAATAATAATTTTAATCATGTATAAATAGTATAATTTTTCACCAAAGAGTGTTCATCCAACCCCTTAACCATCCGCCCCTGCCCTCTTGGTTGAGGATTCAAATCCCATATAATTTATATTATGTATCAAGAAATTATATAATTCAAATGTATTCTTAGCCTCGTGTACAATCTAGCTTGGGAAAAACATCATCCAATAGATCTCATTCAACAAAGAAATAAAAAATCTAACTAATTTATAAGCTATTTTATTCAAACATCTAGAAATATATATAAAATTGACATAATCCCATAATCACCATGCAAGCTTTTATTTTACTTTTTTATTCGCCCTTTAAATTCTAAATTCATCACTAAAAACCTTAACCCTTTTGAAATTGATGATCAAGCTAATTAAAACACTTTTACCATTACCTAATAAGTTAGAGGTTCAAGTCATGTAATTAGAAGTAAGTTAATGCACTGTTTATCCACTCAACTTGCTTAATAAAAATACTAGTGGCAATATGTATTTTAATACATTATTATTTTATTGAGTTAGTAAGAAGGGAAAAAAATTATATATTTTTCAATAGTATTATCAATTCCACACATACACTGACCATGAGCCACGTGGCACAAGATACAATGAGCTGTTATCTAGTTTGCTTCTGACTCATACACACGTAGAGGTGGCTACATACATCATACATACCCCCTATTATTTATTTGCCACGTATTACTTCCAAAAATTAAAAATATTAAATAAATACAATAGACCCCATCTAAATATTTTAATTTGTCCATGCAACCTAGTATATTATTTATATTGTTTTAAGACTTTTATACGTAAACGGAACATTGATTTGATTTGTATACGTATTTTTTTAGTTTATAATAAAAAATGATATACGTAGTGGTTTTCAACAGGATCACGGTTTTATACTAGAGTGGACTTTCATATTAGATTGAATAATATAATTTTTATTTTTAAATTAAAAAAACTATAACTTAAGTTCAATTCAAATTAGTTCGATTTTCTTAAGTTTGATTATTTTGAATTCCTTGTTTAAGTCTATAGATTGAATTGCTTCTTCTTCTGATAAAATAAAATATTTGAATATATTAAATTACCTTAATAATACCTCAATTTTTCCATCATCACACAAATAATATTTACACGTAAGTAATGAAACTATTATTACATAAATCTTCGCAATAAAAGCATTCAGACATGAGATTTAACAACGTCAAGCATAATAAAATTAAGTTTATAGGGGTTGAGTTTTTACTAAAGAATTAATATAAGAAGTAAAAAGGGGTTCATCATATGTTATATACATAAAATATATTTTTTATCATATATAAACAATGTATTTTTTTATTAAAGGAGGTTTGAATGAAAATAATCGACTTTACCTAGCTCCACCTTTGGGGGAGGTGG